TCAGTGTGAGCCCAGGGATGCTTTTGCTGCTGAATTTAAGCTGACTAGAAAGCTACTTTGCCAAAGTATCTGGGCAGGACAAGGCTGGCTTTTCATGGAAGCCAACAGTACTTCCTTTGCTGTTTGGGGAACATAGGCACACTTAAGTGTCCAGTATGATTACCTGTACAGAAATATTGTTCTGTTTGGACGAAGAAGCAATTCAGTACTAACAGGCCATTCCATCACCATATGCTTATAACAGCGGTTCTCAACCTGTGGGTCGGGACCCCATTTGGGGTCGAACGACCATTTCACGGGGGTCGCCAAACAACGCAGTCCGCCATTTTTTCCCCTTTTCCTTAGCTGTGCTACTCCCTTTTATTCTATTGGCTTTTGAAAGCCAATAGAATAGACTCTCTTGAATAGAGTCTAATTCTATTGGCTTTCAAAAGCCAATAGGAATTGTCCAGGCTGTCTCTGCCCTGCTGAGCCCACCAAAAGTCCCATTCTGCAAATGGTGCTGCAAGTTGTCTGCAGCGAAGGCGAGCTGTCTGGAAGTTTCCACCCCTCCCTGCTGAGCAACTACTAAAATTGTAAGTAAAAGAGGGCCAGGGGTGGGAGGTGGGAGGCCGGCGGGCACAGGGAGAGTTGCTGGCGCACATGGGGCCCGGCGGGTGCCTTACCTCCCTTGGGCTGGGCCAGCTGGTGGTCCAGCCGGTGGTTGGCCTGCGCCGTCTCTGCCGCTTGCCAGCTATGCCTCAGCCAGTGCAGGGGGCAGCACCACGCATGCGCGGCGCTCCCGGGCATGGAAAGTCCTCGACTTATGACCGGTTGATAGTCCTCGACTTACGACCGGTTGGGGGTCACGGCATTAAAAAGGTTGAGAACCACTGCCTTACAATAACTTGGATTTTCATTAGAATGATGGTTACTGACTGTGTGGAGATGGATGTAAGAGCTTTTTCCTCAGGAGGAGCTTATTGGGGCAGTTTCTTTGCAATTTTCCCAAGCAAATTTCTCACACATCAGGATTTTCGCATGTTCTTGTTCTTCTCAGCCAATGAAGGGGAGCCTGGGAGAATTAAGCAACAGGGGTTTGGACAGGCTCTCTTGATTTTTAGGCCTCCCAGATTACATCCTGTAAATAAGTCAGGGTACGTAAAAAGTATTTCCTGAACTTTCTGAATCATAATGTGCCCATGTTAGTGATCTGTGATAGTGTTTCTCAACCTTAGTGGCTTTAAGACAGAGATCTTCAAACTTGGCAACTTTAAGACTTGTGGACTTCAGTTCCCAGAATTCCTCAGCCCTGGCTGGCTGAGGAATTCTGGGAGTTGAAGTTCACAAGTCTTAAAGTTGCCAAGTTTGAAGACCCCTGCTTTAAGAAGTATGGACTTCAACTCCCAGCCTTTCCCAGGCAAGTATGCTGGGAGTTGAAGTCCATGCACCTTAAAGTTGCCAAGGTTGAGAAACACTGATCTGTAAGATACCAAAACTTTGAAGAAATGGAGTTTCCTTCAAACCTTGAAAAGATTCCTAGCTTTAAAAAAGAAGGAAAGGTTTTATAAACATGTTCAGCATGTTTCAGAATGCTGCCACAGATTATGATAGTGTAAGCAGACTAGTTTTTGTGAATTTCAGCCCTATCTTAGTAGTGCTAGAATTGGATGACTTCTAAATAGTGACTTATAGCCATATTCAGTAATTTGTATGAGAGAAGAACGTAACTTTCCCCCCGATAACTTTATTAAAGATCATATTGAACCAAAGGTGTTTTTTTTTTCAAAAGGCAACTGGACTTTTGTTGTTTTTGCTTGAAGATGTTTTGCTTCTGAACTGAAGAAGCTTCTTGAATGAGAAGTGAAAGATCTTCAAGCAAAAAACAAATAAAGCCCAGTTGCCTTTTGAAAAAAAGAAAAAATCACCTTTGGGACAACCTTAACTTGGATGACTGAGAATCTCCATAGAGGTCATACTGGAACAGAGAAAACTTTCAAAGTCTTTCTTTAAATCTGTTTCACAAAACCTTGGCATTTAAAATCTTTCCAGAAACAACTCTAAAGACACCCCTTTACTGAATATTGCAAAAAAAATAAAGATCTTACAAAGCTGGAAAAAAATCATTTTCATTCTCTTTAAACAGACGGAAGTGAAACTCACCCAGTGACTGATAGGCTTGTGGGTCTCGAAGATTTTTCTATCTTAAAGAGGCAATTAAAAAAAATAAAAGCTCCAAAGGGATTAAAAAGATGAGATTTGGTCAAAACTGAGCCCATGAAAGGCTACATTTATGGCTCATAGCACAATTGAACTTATGATTCCCAGCTGATCCCAAGGGGCTGCAAAAACTTCAGTTTCTGCCATCTATTCAAAAAACCAGCTGATTGGAGTATATATGGTCATTCTCTATATCTCTCTTTGTTCCAGAGAAAGTTTGGCAGTATGAATCTCACATCCAGTTGCTTTTTGGCTATAATGCCCCTATGATCCACAGAGTAGAGAAAAGTATGGGCATTCGTTTGTGTTGTCTCACTGGAAGATGGGAGTTATATATTTTTTCTGGATAAGACCAGTACTAGGCTTTGATCAATAATATCTGGAGCCCCAAGTAAGGAAGACCAGATAAAAATTAAAGTATAATTTAATATAATATTAAGTAAATGCATTTAATCCCCTTGTATTCATAAAGTGTATACACATACATATAAGATTAGAAATGATGGTTTGACAGCAATTGTCCTTGATTTCTGAAACAGTATTCAAAGTTTGGAGAAGTCTATCTATTGCTTTTTCTTTTACTCTTTTCTTTCGCAAAAAACCCCACCAGTGTTATTGAGATTTGCAGCCATTGGAGATGGAAAGTTTACTCTTTTCCCTTCCGATTCTCCACCATTATCATAAAGAGTGGAGCTCAGTTTGAAGGGGATATCATTCATTCATTCATTCATTCATTCATTCATCTATTCATATATACATGCATAACATTTCTAGGTCACCCAATCTCAATCACTCCAGGTAGCGTTACCTTCTGGTAATGACGACAGAAGGGGACTTTTTCAAGGATATCATGGCTTTAGTGAGAAGTTTATATTCCCTGTCCAACACAATATAATCTTCATGATAATCGTGGACACATCTGTAATGAAATTAACAAAAACAAAAGACATTACTGTGTGTTTCCTCAATAAATAAGAGAAAGTTTGCCTCTGGGAGTCTTAAAGCATTGAATTGAACAAAGATGATCAGGGGATTGGAGGCTAAAACATAAGGAACGGTTGCTGGAATTGGTTATGTCTAGTTTAATGAAGAGAAGGACTAGGGGTGACATGATAGCAGTGTTCCAATATCTCAGAGGCTACCACATAGAAGAGGGAGTCAAGCTATTCTCCAAAGCACCTGAAGGCAGGACAAGAAGCAACGGATGGAAACTAACCAAAGAGAGAAGCAACCTAGAACTAAGGAGAAACTTCCTGACTGTTAAAACAATTAACCAGTGGAACGATCTGCCTCCAGAAGTGGTGAATGCTTCAACACTGGAACTTTTTAAGAAGAGACTTGGACAGCCATTTGTCTGAAATGGTATAGGGTTTCCTGCCTGAGCAGAGGTTGGACTAGATGACCTCCAAGTCCCTTCCAACTTTATTATTATTGTTGTTGTTAAATCTGTGTTCAAGAAAACTGAAGGAATGCCTGATTTCTTAAAGATTGCCAAATTCTTCATTGGAAATGTTTGTTTGTGTAACTCCATCTTCAGAAATACATTTAAGACATTCCCATAGTTCAATCTTAGCAGCAGCCAGCCCTTCAGAACCAAAAGAAAATAACCAATTGCAGTCTCACAGGTTATTGTTTGAGGAACATAGGAGGAAGAAAGAGTATCAGGTCCCTTCCAATTTTATTATTGTTGTTGTTGTTGTTACTATGCACATTAACTACTGTCTGTGATTTGATGTTTGATTCAGTAGGAGAATATAGTTCTGAATGGGGCTTTGGAATTTCCTAAGGGAAATGTAAGTTTATCCCAAACCAATCCCAATGTATAAAGCTTCGCTGGTCATTAGCAGTTTTCGCCCCATCTGTAGATAGCCATTGTAGTTTCAATGCCAGGATTCATATAGTGTGCATTACTGGTCATGAGAGAGAAGTTTTCTTTTTTCATTTGTGTTGTAGACAGTCACGTGATTGATATTCTACCCAACAGCATATTAATAGTTACTTTGAAGTATCAGGCATGCTTTTCAGCTGGAGGCTGGTGGTTTGATCATTGTGCAAGCTCTGCAGATTCGTGAGGTTTCAAAATGCCATGAAAATGTGATCTTGGTTTGTGACAGAGAGATATGGGGAAAAGTCATAACAGAGTTGGAAGGCACCTTGCAGGTCTTCTAGTCCAGCCCCCTACTCTAGCAGAAGCCCTTATACCAGTAATGGTGAACCTATGGCACGTGTGCCAGAGGGGACACTAAGAGCCCTCTCTTTGGGCACGCATGCCGTCACCCCAGCCCTGCCTCCCTCTGTGGCCCCCTCGCCAGCAGCCCCCTGGAGAAGAGTTGCCCCCGGGTGTGGCCCACGCAGAGCAGCGCAGCCACAGACATGGCAGTGGGGACAAGACTCCACCCTTGCGCCCTGTTGCACGCAGATGATGCTGCAGGGCGTGGGCGGACGGTGTGGCCGCCATGGCGCTGCTGGGCCACCTGGGCAATCTTCGGCAGGCCAAGGAGGCGGTAAGTGGCCCTGCGGGTGGGACGGGGGCAGAGCGGGAGTGGGGGCAGGGCAGAGGCGGTTTGGGGCACTCAGTCTCTAAAGGTTTCGCTATCACTGCCCTATACCATTCTGTACAAATGGTACAAGATCAATGAATGATCCAGAGGGACTTGAACCACAATCCCCAGTTCCAGAGGATGTTTCCTTATCCATTAGGCCACTGGGCCACTTATGTCCTTGTTCCTTTTGCAGCACAGTTTCTAAAACTCTGTTTTGATGCTTGTTACTTTTTTTTTCTCTCTCTCTCTCTTTCCTAGAATTTCTTTGAAAGCTACATTTCTGTGGCTTCCACTGTGCCTTCTGTCCTGAGCTTGATTGGGAACTTCCTGCTAGTCAACAAGTAAGTGTGATTGCATTAGTGGCCCTACTTTTCCCTCCTCCCACTCTGCCCTGCCTCCTCCGGCCTTGACTATGCCATGTGTCTCCCCAGGATGCAGCATTAACACAGCAGTGATTTAAACGTCAAGCTAAAAACTCTTGATGAGAAAATGGGCTTAATCAGAAAATCCTGTGCTGCACAGCAAAACTTCTCAAAGTCATAGTGTGTTATTTACTTTTGTCCTAAATTAAGGCAGACAATATCCAAAATCATCTAGATGATCACTTTTACTAGGTTAATGGAGGCTGCTTCAAACAGATGTTCTCCAGGGGAAATACAATTCATCATGCTGTGCAATATCAGTAGGAAGGGTTGCTAAATATATGGAAAAGATGAGAATCAGCAAGAACTTAACTAAGAAGGCAGTGGCCTCAAATTGAGCAGCTATAGGTTGGGCAAAGAGGAAGGAGACAAAAGAAGGGACTGAGATCAAGATCTTCTGGTGGACTTAGCTGTCTGCAGTGACATGGAACTCAAGGAAGTCTTGACTACTACTTTAACGGCTATTTGAAGACACCATAGGTTGCTAGCTGAGCAGTTTGTCTCTCTGATATGTAAAATAAAAGTAGGTCACAGTTTTCGAAGGAGAAGATGGGATGGAGTGATCAGTACTTCTCTAGTATCATTGCTCCTACATGATCCTTGTGTTTTATAATTTGAAGGAAGGAATGTATGGCGCTCAGAAAAAAAGATATAAAAAAGTACAAAAATCATAGGCTTCAAAGGACTGATAATTCTATACCAAGTACCAGAACCCTGTTTTGCATTTCCTTTCTTGCTCTTTTTAAGACACTAACACTTGCTCTTAACACCACTAACCTACATTTTGGCATGCTCAAAAAACGTAATCCAAACATCATCTTTTTTTTTTTATTGAAAATTTTTATTTTTTTTAAAACATACAATCATTTATAAAAATACAATAAAATTTTAAAATAGAGAACCCCCCCTTACCCTCCCTCCCACCCCCACCCCCCCTCCCTTCACTTCCCAGAGCAGAATACAGGGTTAAAAAAAAAAAGAAAATTATAATAATTAAGAAAAAAGAAAAAAAAGAGAGAAAGAAAAAAAAATCACAATTAACCTTTAACTCCATAACCTATAAAACAATTCTCTATAATATTTGATATTCATTCATAAAATAAATAAAACTTTTTAATTCCATACTTTTTCTGAATATAATCTATCCACCTTCCCCATACAGTAATATATCTTTCTTGTGTATGATCCTTTAAATAAGCAGAAATTTTTGCCATTTCTGCAAAACTAGATACTTTAAATATCCATTCTTCTAAAGTAGGCAAAGAATCTTTCTTCCAATATAAACCTACTAGTAACCTTGCTGCAGTTAATAAATTCAACATCAAAGTAGTTTCTTTTTCATTTAAGTCAACAAAAATACCAAGTAAAAATAGTTGAGGAGTAAACTTTATCTTTTTTCTAAAAATCTTTTGAATGTTCCACCAAATCATAATCCAAAAAGCCTTTACTTTTTTACAATTCCACCAAATATGAAAGTATGTCGCATCATTATTGCCACATCTCCAACATTTGGGCTGTATGTTGGAATACATACAAGATAATTTTTTAGGATCTAAATGCCATCTATAAAACATTTTATAAAAATTTTCTCTCAAATTTTGAGCTTGTGTAAATTTAACATTTCTTATCCAAATTATCTCCCATAAATCCAATGAGATCGGCTCCTGTATATTCTGAGCCCATTTAATCATACAATCTTTAACCAATTCTGTTTCCGAATCTAACTCTAATAAAACATTATATATTCTTTTTATATGAGCCGGACCTTGGTTTTTAATCTGAATAACCAATTGTCTATCTTCTAGTGTTATTCCCTCTTTCTTGTCTACAGTCCATCTATCCATTATTTGTAAATATTGAAACCATGACTGTAGAATATTTTGCTGCCTTAATACATCTAGGGATTTCAAATGCCAATTCGAACCAGAACAAATTAACAATTCTTTGTATGAAATTTTATCAAAATTTGTCCCCTTAGAGGTTCCCTCAATTGCATGTCTGGGAATCCCCCAGATAGGTATTTTATAATTTAATCTATAATAATACTTCTTCCAAACACGAAGTAAGGCATTCCTCAAAATATGTGATTTAAAAGTCCGATCAACTTTCTTATTAAAAATTAAATATGCATGCCAACCGTATATTAAATCCCAACCTTCCAAAAAAAGAATATCCATATTTGTTAAATTAAGCCAATCACTTAACCAAGTTAGGGCGGCTGCATCATAATATAATTTCAAATTAGGTGCCTTAAGTCCCCCTCTTTCTCGAGCATCCTGTAATATCTTAAATTTAACCCTTGGTTTCTTCCCGGCCCATATAAAATTATTGATACCCTTTTGCCATTCCTCCAAATTTGCCTCTTTTTTAAGAATAGGTATCATCTGAAACAAAAAAAGAAACTTTGGTAGAACATTCATTTTTACAGCTGAAATTCTCCCCAACAATGACAATTGCAATTTTTTCCAATCTATTAAATCCTTTTGGACTTTTGCCCATAGTGGTTCATAATTGTTCTTGTACAATTTTCCATTTGAAGCAGTTAGATATACTCCCAAGTATTTAACCTTTTTTACCATCTGAAAACCTGTGGCTTTAATCAAACTTTCCCTTTCTTTAACTGACATATTCTTAGATAATATCTTAGTCTTATAATTATTAACTTTAAAACCAGAAACATTCCCATACTGTGTTATAAGTTCTAATAAACCATCAATCGCCTGATTCGGCTGTTCCAAAATTAAAACCAAATCATCCGCAAATGCCCGCAATTTATACTCATTCTTCCTTATCTTTACACCCTTAATTAACTTCGATTCCCGAATCTGAATCAATAAAATTTCCAATGTTAAAACAAATAACAATGGGGATAATGGACATCCTTGTCTTGTCCCTTTTTGAATATTAAAATTCTCAGTCAAACCCCCATTTACAACAATTTGTGCAGATTGCTGCTGATATATAGCTTTAAGTGCATGTAAAAAATTATCCCCAAAATTCATTTTCTCTACCAAAGAAAATAAAAATTTCAAAAGATGATGTTTAAAAAACGTAATCCAAACATCATCTTTTGAAATGTCCTTAGGTATGTTCTAAAGGAACATTAGTCATTTAGGTGAGAAAATCTTGAATTTGGTAGATGATCCCATTAGTTCTCTACTTAATGTGTCCAGTCTATTTCAATTTAAAGCCAGTCATTTTCTTGCAGCCTTGCCTATCCCCAGATCTAAAACTCTTTAGTTGTAGGTAATTATAATTCAGAACATCTGCAGGGCACTGGGTTCAGGAAAGTTGTGCTTAAAATATTCATTTTTGTAATGCGTTTCTTGGTATTCTTACTTTGCTCGCATGCAGACTTTGTGTATGTTCAGTAAATTGAGACATTAAAGCAGGCGTCTCTAACCTTTCCAGCTGTGCGGATCGGCCGGGGGAGGGAGAGGGGATGGTTCTGTGCACGGCACACACGCAACTCCATTTACACAAGCAGTGGGTGCACGCACCAGCTGTTTGCCCATGTGGAGCTGCTTGCACAACCCAGTTCCAAGCAGGCTGTGGCCATAGACCGAGGGTTGGGGACCCCTGCATGAAAGGACACCTCTTTCTTTTTTAAACTATCATCAGTCATCGCTGAGGGAACTGGACAAACTACCATAGAGCTCCACTCCTTCTGGGTGGAAATATTTGCAAGAGAATCCTGGGGAGGCAACTCCTTGATTCTCTACGACAGTGCTTCTCAACCTTGGTGGCTTTCAGAGATGTGGACTTCAACTTCCAGAATCCCCCAGCCAGTCGAGGAATTCTGGGAGTTGAAGTCCAGACTTCTTTAAGCTGTCAAGGTGAAGAAACATTGCCATACAGTATGGATATGAGGGCATCTCAGTTTCTTTTCCTTCTGATGTTCCGGGAAGGATACTTAATACTGTCCTTATTTTTCCACATCTTTATAGAAAAATTAGCTGACTGTCACAAGAAATGGTATACTTGCTGAAGCCCAGGAACTGATACTGGAGAAAGCCCTCATTTGCTTAAGTGGCATTCTCTGTCAAAAATGCCCCCATTATCTGTCTTATTGTGACTATCCTTATCTGTAGAATTCCTTAAACGGAGAATTAAATTATCTGCAATTCCATGAAGTAAAGCTGACCCAGAGACCTGAACATCTTATATATTCTCTAGCCTGGGAATCCATTTCACAAAACCCATTATGCTTAATGCATTGCATTTTAAAAGTAGCATTCATTTATCTTTGCCACATTGTTGATTCTACTGAGTGGCGCATCCATAATCAATAAGTGTTTTATTATGCTAAGTTTTCAGCATCATAAATACACATGAGTCTGGCTTGCATTTATGGAAACTCCCAGGAAAATTGGTTCCCTGTAGCTTGATTGCCTCCAGAGATTAACTTATGACTATTCCATGCTCCATCCTTCTTAAGAAGCTCGGTGATAATTAACATGTAGTGATAGGTCTGAACTAGATCTCATGCCTAACTTTTTTGCAGGGTTAAGGTGAAGGGACCTGGCTTGTCCACTAGCATGTCTTTTTGCCCAGAAGCAATTCATTTTGTTTACTTGATGTATTTCAGGGGTCTTCAAACTTGGTCCTTTTATGACTGGCTGAGGAATTCTGGGAGTTGAAGTCCACAAGTCATAAAAGGGCCAAGTTTGAAGACCCCTGATGTATTTATTTAAAACTATCTGTTCAAAAAGATTGGGTTTGTCAAAAGACCTAGAGCCAGGCAGGCAACATTTCTAATTTTGGTAGTCTTATGGCATGAAGCATATCTCATTTTAAGTAACTTCAAGAAAGGTGTTTATCATAATAAGATGTTTAAGCCAGGGCCTTATCCAGTGGTGGGATTCAAATATGTGAACAATCAGTTCTCTGTGTCGATGCTGCTTCCAGAAGTCTGTTCTGGGCCTGGGCACCAAAAAATAGCTACCGGTTCTGCCGAAGTGGTGGGAACCGCCTGAATCCCACCACTGGCCTTATCCCTGAAGGCTAAGTCAATCTTTTCTCTGCAAGATCTTGGTCACTTTCTACTTTTTGTCTTTCCCAGCCCTCTTCCTTGAATGATGTAGTACTTATAATTTTACTATGTAAATAAATAAGAAAAGTTGTACAAAGTTAACTTTCTTATTTAAATAAATAAATCTGAAAAAGTTCTTTTAAAAAAGTTACTACAACTTTCCCATTTAAATAAATAAGAACAAATTTAAAAAGTAACTTTCCTGTTTAAATAGTTAATTATCTGATGATCATGAAATACTTGGGTTATCTGGTTTTCTCCAGGGCTCTTCTGCTTTTTTTGGTTATGGGTTCTTTTATAATTGCTTATAACATGCATTATGTTACATGTATTCCCCTGTCATAAAATCATAGGGCTGGAAGGGACCTTGAAGAGCTTCTAGTCCAACCCCCCCCCACCCAAGGCAGATGTCCTTACACCACCCCAATCTTTTCTTAAAAAATCTCCAGTGATGGAGCAGCCACAACTTCTGAAGGCAAGCAGCTCCACTGTTATGAAATTTCTCCTTCGTTTAGGTTGGTTCTCTTCTTGATTATTTTATTATTATAGAATAGAGCTGGAAAGGACCTTGGAGGTCTTCTAGTCCAGCCCCCCACTCAAGCAGGAGAACCTACACCATCTCAGATAGGTGATTGTCTAGTCTCTTCTTAAAGATCTCCAGTGATGGGGCGCCCACGATTTCTGGGGGTAAGCTGTTCCACTGGTTGATTGTCCTCACTGTCAGGAAGTTTTTCCTTAAATCCAGGCTGCTTCTCTCCTTGACCAGCTTTCAACCATTGTTTCTCGTCCTTCCCTCTGGTGCTCTGGTGAACAACCTGACCGCTTATGCCTTGTGGCAGCCCCTCAGATACTGAAATACTGCCATCATGTCTCCCCTATCTCTTCTTTTTTTTTAGACTAGCTAGCCAAACCCAAGTCCCGCAGCCGTTCTTCATATATTTTAGCCTCCAGGCCTTTGATCATCTTAGTAGTTCTTCTCTGAATTTTTTTCAAAACTCTCAACATCTTTTTTGTGATATGGTGACTAGAATTGGCTGCAGTATTCCAGGTGTGGTCTTACTAGGGCTTTGTAAAGCGGTACTAGTACTTTGCGTGATCTTGTCCTGCCTTCAGCTGCTTTGGAGAATAGGTTGACCCCTTCTTCTTTGTGGCAGCCCCTGAGATATTGGAAGACCGCTATCATATCACCCGTCCTTTTCATTAGACTAGACATACCCAATTCATGCAAATGTTCTTCACATGTTATACCCCTTTCAGTTAGAATTTTGCCAAAACTTTTTGAGGTGCATGTAACAGACTAAGCTCCCTGTAGATCTGGCATTCTCTCTGGTTACCTTTACCTTTATAGAGGGGGACAATCATGGCATTATTACATTCATCAGGCACAGATGCAACCTTCACATATGTTAAAAGCATCACACATCCAGTCTGTAATCAAACCATTCCATCTTTTAAGCATTTCTCTAGTGACACCATCTACACTTGCAACCTAATCATTTTTCAACATTCTCAAACATTGATGGCTTTCTTTTCACCATTTTTTTCCTGAACACCAACATGAATAATATCTATTTCAGTTCCATTCTTCAGTTCATCACTATTATTGTCACATAATACACCTTCCAATAATCCTTCACTTCAATTTCATCCCGAATACTTCCATCATTTTCCCTTTTTATTGCATTAATTCTCCTAGAGGCCTCTTCATCCATCTCCTGAACAAATTGTTATTTTCTTCAACATACCTTGGCGTTTTCTATCCTTTAACAATTTTGTTTTAATTTTTTAAAAAATAATTTTAAATTACACTCTGTGCATTTATCTCTTTCTCTTTCTATGCATTTAACTGTATCTTTCACTGTTCCTCAACAAGTGAAAGATATATATTTTTATATGAATTTTATTCAGTCACCATCATTCCACCAAACTCTTTTTTAATATTTTCCATTAGCTTAACTCCATACATTTCTGTGTTACTTTATAAAATAACTATTTTTGCTTTGATCCAAATATTTTGCACATCCTTTTTTCTTACATCTACTGTACTGTCTAATTACACTCTTGAAAATTTAATCTTCTAAACCAATGGTTCTCAAAGTATGGTCTGGAGATCCCTGTGGTTTATTAAGTCAAATAAATTAATATTTTAAAATTTATCAGTTTTAATTTCTAGCCCAGTACAGGTAGTCTTCGACTTACAATTCCAATTGAGCCCAAAATTTATGTTGCTAAGCAGGGCAGTTATGTGAGTTTTGCCCCATTTTATGACTTTTTTGCCACAAGTGTTAAGCAAATCATACGGTTGTTAAACAAATCTAGCTTCCCCCATTGACTTTGTCAGAAGCCAGCTGGGAAGGTTACAAACGGTGATCACATGATCCTGGGACAGTGCAACTGTCATAAGTACATGCCAGTTGCTAAGCACCCAAATTTTGACCACATGACCATGAGGGATGCTGCAACAGTCGTAAGTCTGAAAACTGATCGTAAGTCACTTTTTTCAGTGCCGTTGTAACTTTGAATGGTCACTAAATGGTTGTAAGTCAAGGACCATCTCCAAATATTGGCAGATATAAACCACATATACCAAAGGTCTGTTCTAAACATTTTTCCAAACAGGACTCTTCCCCCCCCCCATCATCATTCTAGTTTCATTTCCATTTCTTTCCCTTTTTTTTTCCTCCTGTCCATTTCCCATCCACCCCCCAACCCCCTGGATCCAGTATGGACACTCCCCAAAATGGTCTGTCCACATTTAGAATTTCCTAACCGGGATTTCCTCTTTCTAGCTATATAATTGCCTTTAAGTGTTTTGAAAATTTTCATCAGGAAAAGCAGCGGTAAGTGGAAGTTAAGAATTTTTAATTTGTAGAGAAGAGCATTTAATTTGCAGTACAAAGTGTGCATTCAGTCGTTTGGCATTTCTTAATTAAGCACATGAAAGAGAAAATCTGTGTGCAGTTTATCTAATTTCTTAGCCTCTTTGTCCTACCCTATTCAGCCTTATTCAAGAACCCTTTCCCTTCCTACCCTGTACCTTTCCCATGGTAAAAAAATTAACAGTTTAATACTTCTGTAAGCTTCTGAATGGCACAGAGCACTTTGGTGAAAAAGACATGTTCTGACTGGATAACAGAACTGAAACCAAGCAATTTGGTTCCAGGCTTCTTTGTCAGAAATGCTCTAATGCTGCAATTCTTTAATAGCTGTTTATGCTCGTTATTTTTTTTCTCCTGGCCCTTTCAAATAGCAAAGGAGCTTTTGTTGAAGTAATAAATGTATCCTCAGAACTGGGGAGAATCTTCGGGGATGCTTCTCAAGAGACCACCCGCCAACTCATTTGTTTCTTTTCCAGGGTTTCTGTCAATGTCCGTATTCTCTCCTCCCTGGCTGTCATGCTGGCCGTCTTCCTGGTGATCACTGTGCTGGTTAAAGTGGACACTTCAGCTTGGACAGTCGGATTTTTCATAATCACCATTGTTTGTGTGGCTGTCATCAGCAGTGCTGCCACCATCTTCATCAGCAGCGTCTTTGGCTTGTCAGGATCCTTTCCCATGAGGAATTCCCAAGCACTGATTTCAGGTTTGCTGTTCTGTTCTGTTGTTTTGTTTTGTTTTTAAAAAACATTTAAATAGATTGATTATTATAGCAGGTTGGTGGGACTCTTTCAGCACTGTGTCCTGTGATGACAGCTGGGTTAACACGGACCCTTGACTTTGCACTGAAGGTTTTTGTCCATGAGTAATGATGTGACAATTATTTCTATCTCAGGGACATTTTTAGCCTAGTTGACTTTTACAACAACCTGAAGAGGAAGCTTAAAATGAAAATTTATATTAAGAGGTCATACCTTTTCTTTGTTCTTATTGTTTCATTCTGTGGCATTTTTGGGGGGGGTGGTTTAATTTTTTTTACAGGTGTGGCTAATCCTTGGCTTATGACTGTAATAGAGACTGCCATTAGGATCACAGATTGTGATGGTTGTTAAGTGAGGCACCCATGTAATCGCCTCACTTAATGCACTCCATCCCTGCTCTCCCCAATGCAATGAGGTTGTCAAGTAGAGCATGGGGTGCCTCAGGCTTGGGGAGGGAGCCCTGGAAGGCCTTGTGCACTCCCTGGCCCACTTGCCTCAGACCTCCCCAAGCCTCCTTCACCCCCTGAGGCATCCTGTGCTCCTCTTTCCCCCTCTGAGTCTCAAATAGGCCTTGGGCCTGCTAACCAGATCCCCATGGGTACCCTATAGGCACGCTGGCTGAGGAATTCTGGGAGTTGAAGTCCACAAGTCATAAAAGGGCCAAGTTTGAAGACCCCTGCTGTAGGCTGTGTGGTGCCATCCCAGAAGCAGCTGCAATTTCAGAGTTCATTGCGGTTGCTCCAAAAATGGCGCCTGCTTCCTGGATGGAGTCACATGGCCTAAGGATGGCAAGGGGCAGAGTGACCTGTTCTTCTTCCCCAGCATGATCTCCAAGGCTTCCAGAAGGAGAGCTACAGTAAAAGGTAAGTGATTGGAGATGGGGAGGAAGGTGTGGAACCTGGCAAGGTGGATCCCTGCAGTTAGTCGAAAGGGTGAATCCACCGAAATGTTGTTCACATGACTATGGGGGTGCTGCAGCGACCCTAACTTCAAAACCAAGTCGTAAGTATCTTTTTGGGAGGTGGGTGTAACTTTGAACAGTCACTAAAAGCCAGTCCTAGTCAAGGACTACCTGTACTGAAAGAAATCATTTGCATTCAGCTCCATGTTTGTTTATATTTTGAGGGGGGGGGAAGCAAAGCTTTTCATTGTCTTATTTGATATTCACATTAAAGCTCATCTCCATAACTGATGAGTTCCAAGTTTGCAGGTATGAGTGATGAGTCCCCTAGAGGTTTATCAAGGATGGATGGCACTGGAAATGCAATCTGAGAATTTAAAAAATGTGGGGGAAGAAGAGAAGAGACAAAAATCAATATGTACTGAGATTTTTATTTTATTTTATTTTATTTACTTTTTTTCCTGGACCACAGCAACAAATGCAGTTGACCCCTGGTGGAGATCTTCACCACAGCACTTTTTGGAAGCCTTCCAATACTTAACCATACATTATATAAATTTATTTTATTATGACTATAAAATGGAAAGTCACATCAGGTGCTAATAAACCTTTGCGTTGTGTACTTAAACATCTTTCTGATAAAAATGGAAAGTCAAAGGACATTCTCATAAGACCAGACTAATAAGCGATGATATTTCTGTTTGTATATATTTGATCCAAAGAGCTAAAATTAACACAATTTTCCACATTTTGAACTCTTGGTTATCTATCATTTTCCTTTATAAATTTGTCACTCAAATATGGTTGGTAATCCCAAGATTTTTAAAGTAATGTTGTCTTTTTATTTCTCCAGAAATAGTTGTTTTGAGTCTCCTCAGAGGTGATTTTTGAAATTCCCACAAGATTCAAAAGTAATTTGCTTTTTATAGCTAGGGAGTTCCCCTACTCTGGTAATAGATAAATGAATTCCTCTTACCTTTTGATATATTTAATCCTTCTACACACGTTTGCTTGGATTAAAAGCAACATTAGTTGACCTGTGTGGTTTTTCATTACTCAAATTGTACAACTGCCTTATTTGTGCACATGTGTGTATGTGCCATCTGAACAATTAAAAATCTATATGAACTTAAAGATGACCTTACATCCACATTTATGGAATGACATGGGAATACATGCACAGTAATTGGACCACAAATTCATTATGGGCATAATCAACTAAAACTTCAGAATTCCAGGCAAAATGTCTAACCAGCATCAAAACTGGGATTATTGTAGTCTCTTGTTCCCCAATTTCATTTTCCCTGATTTGGCTGCCAAGCTGATTCTCATTCAACATGTTTCATTTTGACTAACCAACATTGGCTTGACCTTATTTCCATTTCATTGAGATTTGCGCTTCTTCTTCCTTACCCCCATATCCTCATCACATAGGGCAGGCCATGGGAGGAACTTTGAGTGCCTTGGCTTCAGTGGTGGATCTGGCAGCATCATCGGAAGTCACAAACAGCGCTCTGGCCTACTTCCTCATAGGGGACATCTTCATTGTGTTGTGCATTGTCATGTATCTGATTCTTCCGAAGCTGGAGTATGCCAGGTAACAACCACTGTCGGATTAGATCAATAATCAGCCTATGTTTAATGGTTGGGTTCTAACATACTTAGCTCTGGATGTCACGAGAGTGTCTTTTCATGAAAGCCTTTCCTATTATAGCTAGGGAAAGTGTTAGGTAGTGCCTCTGCTGCTTCTTGTTTCTATTTTCCCTCCCCAGGCTGATCAATGCAAGCTTGGAATGAAAATATATGATTTATTACAAGTTGTATTCTTTTCTTCTTCTTCCCTGACCGAAGACATACAATCTGGTATGGATACCGTGTCAATATAAAACAAACTCTAGTTTCGGAATCACTTGTGTTCCTGATGGTGTGTGTAGCCACCAGTCTTAAAACTCTGGAGCACAGTCTGTCCAGGTTTTCTAAAAAAACTGGGATTTGGCTTTTACAGATTGGCTGCTATCCCTGAGCAAGGAGAAGAACTTAGTCATCCTTAACTGATCTTGGAAGCTAAACACATTTAGTTCCAATTAGTATTTTGATAAAGAACCATAAAAGAATTCCACAGCTATGGATTGAACTGGAAAGTTGGGGGGGGCAAAAACATGTTGAAAGGAATGGAAAACTACTTCTCAAGGCTGCCAAGGAAAGGATGTAGATAAAGTACCAGGATTGGAGCTAGATTCAAGGATGACTTTTCTCTTTTCTCTTTTTTAATTATCCTTCTTGATGCTATTGATTTATTTGCAATGTAAAATGGTTGGCAGCTATTCCTTAAGGCCTCTTTCTTAGGCCTGTCCTGGCACATTTTCCAGCATTTAAAAATAATGTGTTCATGATCTTTTATGAAATTGAACAACTCAGTTGAATTTGATTATTTCCTCATTGTTCTTCAGATGTTATAAATACCACATTCCATAATTCATAATCAGTTTGCCCAAGAAGGTATTAATTTGAATTGAATTGTACAAATGACCAGATTAGACAGAATTGTTCTCTGAGCTGGTATGGGAAGCGTTTCAAACTTCCTCTGTAATTTGGTAAAGAGTCAACATTTTCTCATGGGTTAAGGTCCATGCAATGCATCTGTCAAAGTTGCATTCTTTAAATCTAATTTTCAGTAGCAGTGGACATGCTGTGAAAATAGTTCCCCAAAGTTGGGGTAGTTTCTTCCTAAATAAGTAACAGCTTGAAGAGTTTTCCCTTTCTCCTCCATGAAAAAAATAATTTTGTAATTTTGGAGAGACTTGGGAAGCGTCATCAAAGCTTCTGTAGAATACAGTTTTCTGCTTGGTCCAAGGAGCCAAATTAAACCAAGCTCCAAACATGACAGTCCATTCTCTGCATGAAAACATCTAGCAAAGCAGAACCTCCCACCTCTCTGGTAATTAATTCCTTTGTTAAATTGTTCTTCCTGTTAAGTAGTTTTCTGTTGAATTCTGCCTTCCTAAAACATGTCATGTCTTCCATTCTGGGGTGATAGAGAAGAGGTCTAGAATGGTTTTGGGGAACAGCCTTAGAGCTGCAGAATTTGTAAGTCACAAATATTGAGAACTGTATCAACCTTCAAATGTTTCTGGCCACAGCCATCTTCACTTCATTTTGGGTTGCCACAGCAATGGGAGGAGGGAGATGCACTCTTCTAGTTTAGTTTAATAACTTTCTTGTGGGAACCAAGGTCAGGCTGCCTAAGTGCTTGGCAGGCTGAAGCTATCATTAGAGAGCCCACCAACGTAGTTAATTGGAGATTGTGATTTATGACACAGGGGTGAGGAGTTCAACTTTTACTTTGTAATCTTGAGGGGGGAATTTTCAGTCTTGGTTTCACCTTTGTTTGTGCTGATACTATGTAGCCATTAAAAGTGTTCTTTGAGGAAAGCAAATGCTTTCTTATTTCTACTGGTCTCATCTATCAGAACCATGACATACTGGTTCAATAGCAGTAACTGCAAGAGGGAGTCCTAGTGGACAACCACTTCAATATGAGCCAGCAGTGTGCTACAGCTACTAAAAAAGCCAACACAGTCCTAGGCTGCATTAATAGAGGGATAGAATCAAGATTGCATGAAATGTTAGTACTGTTTTATAAGACATTGGTAAGACCACACATGGAATATTGCATCCAGTTTTGGTCACCATGATGTAAAAAAAAATGTTGAGACTCTGAAAAGAGGGCAAAGAAAAGCAACAATGATTATTAGGGGATTGGAGGCTAAAACATGAAGAAGGGTTGCAGGAACTGAGTGTACCTAGTCTAATAAAGAGAAGGGGTGACATGATAGCGATCTAAGAGACTGTTAGAAAGAAGTGGGGGGGGGGAGAGGTCAACCTATTCTCCAAAGACCAGAAGGCAAGACAAGAAACAATGGATGGAAACTAACCAAGGAGAGAAGCAACCTAGAACTAAGGAGGAGTTTCCGGACAAAACAATTTACCAGTGGAATAGCTTGCCTCCAGAAGTTGTGGGTGCTCCATTATTGGAGGTTTTTAAGAAGAGACTGGATAGCTATTTGTCTGAAATAGTCTTGTGTCTCCTGCTTGAGCAGGGGATTGGACTATAAGACTTCCAAGGTCTCTTGCATACTCTGTTATTCTTCTATTAAAGAATCAGAAGCAACTGAATGACTGAACAAACAGCAACGTGAGCAAATGAGCTCCTTTCCATCTCCTAACTTTCCTATCTCGATTTCAGTTTTGATTTCTCTGTTGGCTTGCTTTTCTCTGATCTTTTTTTCCCTCGCCCCCCCCCCCCTTTTCAGGTATTACACTGCAATGCTGTCACCAAATGCTTTACCCAGCAGTTACTTGGAGGAAGAGGATATGGCAGCAGATAATCCCAGCCAGCTGTTGCCAAACAGAAACTATACTGATAAAATCCCTCCTCTGTGGCTCATCTTGAAGAAGATTGGCATGTTAGGTTTCTGTGTCTTCTACGTCTACTTCATCTCAATCACCATTTTCCCTGCAATCTCATCCAGCATTGAGTCTGTGAACAAATTCTCAGGGAGCCCCTGGACAGATAAATATTTCACACCTGTCACTAGTTTCCTTCTGTACAATTTTGCTGACTGGTGTGGGCGGCAGATCACCGCATGGGTCCAGGTTCCTGGACCACGAAGCAAGTGGCTACCAGCTATGATTCTGCTGAGAACTTGTTTCATCCCCCTCTTCATGTTATGCAACTATCAGCCTCGAACGCACATTGCAAAAGTCACCTTTGCCCATGACGTGTATCCAGTGGTGTTTATTGTGTCCCTAGGACTTAGCAATGGCTACCTGAGTACCTTGGCGATCATATATGGTCCCAAAGTCACTCCGAAGGAACTGTCAGAGGCAGCAGGAGTGTTGATGATGCTCTTCATGCAGGTGGGGTTAGCACTAGGATCGGGCTTCTCGGTTCTTGTTGTCCATCTCATATAGATGGAAGATTTCAAGCCTGGAACTTCACTACTACGAGGACATTTTCAAAAAGACAGAGCAAACACTGGCCTACCAGTGGAGTATTCCATTTTTTAAGAAGTGGTGTAGGCCAGGGGTCCTCAACCTTGGCAACTTTAAGACTTGTGGACTTCAACTCCCAGAATTTCTCAGCCAGCTTTGCTCAGCCTCAGCTTTGCTGGCTGAGGAATTCTGAGAGTTAAAGTCCACAAGTCTTAAAGTTGCCAAGGTTGAAGACCCCTGGTGTAGACATTCTGGCTTTGGGTGTGCAGAAAAAGCTTGGAAATGCACCACAAAATGCAGAAGTGGAATTCCCATGTATTATTGAAGGTCTCGCTTTTTTTTCTTTTTCTTTTTCTTTCTTTTTTTGCAAATAGGGTTTTATTTTGATGGCAAGTAAATTTATGTAGCAATAGGACTCACATATCTTCACAGGTTTATGACATGGAAACTCTTGTGTTTTTCTATGGATATGAAGGAATTACATTCTAGATTTTAAAGCTCTCATTAAAATCAGTCTTCTAAATTATTCAGAATAATAAAAGTTCATTTGAGGAACTCTGCAAAGAAATCAATAGCTTACTCTGTCTTCCAATACATATTTTATATGATCTTAAGAGAAATATCCCTGTAATACAGTGTAGGATAAACATGTTAAAAATATAACAAATGCAGATCAGTCAAGTAGGATTCTCAAAAGCTTTTCATAGGAAGAGTAGCTGAGAAACAATTTTGGTTGAAGAACAGGTAACTTTAACCAATAAAGCTCTGGTGCATGTTTTTCAAGGGTAAATTACAACAGTGAATGCCAAATGAAGTTAAACAGAGATTAAAATGGGACCAACCATGATTTTTCATTCACTCTACCCTTACAGCTATGTAGCCTGGATGAAATTGGTAGGAGTTGCAGTATATACAATACATACATACATACATACATACAGACATATATATATATATATATATATTATAAAATACATATACATATACATATACATACATACATACATACATACATATATATAACATTATCCTGGATCCTCAAAGGGCTTTGAACCTTTTTGGAGAAAACATGGGTCCCTGTAGCCCAATGCTTTGCCTGCAGCCATTGGACAAGAACCTGAATTAGAAAATCAGGTTAATGAGGACAGATATGATATTGTTGCCATTACGGAAACATGGTGGGATGAAACCCACAAATGGAACACATAGCTAGAGAGATTTAAATTATTTAAAAGAAACAGACCAAATAAAAGAGGAGGTGGAGTTTCTCTCTGTATAAGAAATAACTACATCTCTATAGAAATAGCACAACAATGATAAAAACTCCTCAATGCATTTGGGTCAATATAAAAGGGGGAAAAATAACATTGCTATAGGTGTATACTATAGGTCAGTGGTGGTGAACCTATGGCACGTGTGCCAGAGGCAGCACTCAGAGCCCTCTCTGTGGGCATGAGCGCCATGCCCTGAGATGGCAACCGTCCCTCTTCAACCAGCCACCTGCTAAGTCGCCAAGGTCCCATGTGGCTGGATGAATCCCAGCACCCATGCGCTCGCTGGCCTTTGTGTGTGGGGGGGGGCAATAGTATCAGGCAGCAGCCACCCCAGCCCCTGCCTTGCCTTGTCTTGCCTTGCCCTACGACAATGGCACCCCTGCCCTGCCTCGTCTCACCTCGCAGGATGAGCCTCCTGCCTACCGCCCCACCTGCCAGAGACCCCCAACCCCGCCTGGCCCCCACAGGCATCCCTCTCCACGAGCAACATCATGACCACACTCACCCAGTCTGCCATGACCACCACAGCCACATCCACCCAGTGGGCCACGCCCACCTGGCACCCGGCGATAAATAAGTGGGTTTGGGGTTGCAGTTTGGGCACTCGGTCTTGAGGGAAGTTAGCCCAGAGAAAGAAATATTAAAAAGAGCAGAAAAATATATTTTTCCTCAAAAGGACTTTTTAAAACCAAACCTGGCTCCAAATCTATCTCTCTGCCCCAAGCAAGACTTTAGCCCCATACAAATGCAGATGTAAAACCATCAGAAAGTTGGAGCCAGAGCAATCAAGAAGACAAAAGAGAAGATCTGCATACCCCACCCAAACTCTAGGAGTCAGCCCCATCACCTGGGAAGCAGGATATGATAATAGAATTAAACCACAGATATCAAGGCCTAGACAAACACTCAGAAACAGTCTCAAGGTTCATGCCACAGGAACAGGAAACTATTCCAAACAACGCTAGAGGGGGTATAAAAGCCTACTACCCCATGTGCTCAGTCTCTTCTCTCCTCTGTACTTTCCTGAAGACCATCTTTCTGCAATAAACTGTAACCTTCTTCCCAAAGCAGTCACCATGTTTGCTTATTTATTCCCGGCTTGGATGAACCAGGATGAAGACCTTATTTCTATCAATTTGGCAACCCAGATGGGACTCCAAGCTATCCTCTCCAATGGACTGAGACTGGTAAGCCCCATCTTGCTGGCAGCAGACCCCCTTGTGTCTGTGGATGGGTTTCCCAGGCCTTGTGTAAGGACCCACCCCACTTTGCATCTTAAGAAGACAGAACTCTTGGAATAATTCTTCCAACTGGAATCCTTTATTAAGAAGAAGTGGTTGCAGGCGTGCTAGACAGGACTTGGGGTCCAAGCTCTCCCATTCAAGGTTTTAAGGGGTTCCCCAGTAGTCCCACCAAATCACCCCCCCTTCCAGTGATAGTTTCAGGTATCACAATTCCACCCCCTTTTTTCTTTCTTCCGTCTGGATGGAGACTTCAGATAAACTACATGAAAGGCAAATAACATTCTTTGTTATGGTAAGGTTCTTTGGTGCTAACTCTTTGAGGTTGCAATAAACACACATTCAGCATTCAGCTCCTTAAAAGTATACTGAAGGAAGTGAGGGCCATAAAGCCCCTTTGTTCTCCCCCTTCTCTCCCTCTTATGGCAGAATCCAGAGAAGGCAGAATTGGGAGTTTCTATATTTGATAATTAAAGATGAAATATAATTGGATTCTGACATGTGGAGCTAGGGTAGTAAAGGGAGTTTTGAGAGTTTGAGCTCAAGGGCTGCTTTGGAAAGAAGGTGAAGGTGAGTACCTGTAAATTTTAAGTTTAAAGCCCAGGGGAACAAAGAAAATGTGTGTATTTCTGTTTGGGTGAGTGAGAAGACTTTTTTTTTCCCAATCACAGTTGGATTTTGCGGCTTCTGGTCTTTCCTAGCCGCAGAAAGCATCTGTTTAATTGGCAGAACCTGGAAAGCATGGGGGTTGGCCAGAGCACAGAACCTTTTGTTAGGGAAAAGGGAGAGACTGTGTGAAAATGAAATGGAATGAGTGAATGAAAGAATTGGATTTGGGCAACTAGCTGGTAAGGCCTTTAAAGAAAGCAAAGTTAGGAAATTAAGCCTCAAGAAGGGAGCGGCCACTTACCTCCGAGAGCAAGTGGAGGTGCCCACGGACATTGGAGGCATCCGTAAACAGTGGTGTGAAGCCGGCCGGTCGAAGAGTAGCCTGTACCTTCTAACGAGGAAACCAGAAGTGTCTCTGCAGACCCCTTTTTGGTCTGAAAACGTGGCAGGATCCCTCAGAGGAGCTGTCCCACGAACTCTGTGAGGGATCCAGAGTGCTCCGTGAGTCCCATTTTTACCGGACTCACAAAGAATCGTTGTGGAAGAAAGAAGTCTCAAAAGGAGGCTTTGACTGTGTAGTGCCCTTTAGCGTCAAGGGAAAATCCCGTCATATAAGAATGGGAGGTTCCAATTCAAGGGCTGAGGTAGGTTTCCCAGTTGAAAGCTTGCTCATAGCCTAGGACAGGAATCGGCTTCCTGTCTAGGCCAGAATGGAAAAGAGGTAGGTAAAGAAACTATATGAAAAAAAAAATAGACTTTGCTTAGGGCGTTGCTGGGAAACCAATTTGGCTAAATAAAGGTACTTAAAAGGGAAAATAAGAAATAGTGATTCTCTCTCTCTCTCTCTCTCTCTCTCTCTCTCTCTCTCTTCTCTATGCAACCATGTGATATGTTTAAAATATGTGCTTTCCCTAACTTGAGTTATCTGAAATTTATGGTGGGAATGAGTAGGATGTGTAAAACTAAGACTTCTGTTCTCTTGTCTTTGTGTATATATGTTTGTCAAAGTCTGTGCGTGAGAGGTAAATGTGACTGTTAACTGTTTCAAATCCAAAGGAAAAAGAATTTTAAATTCTGCTAGAAATTCTGCTTAAAATAAGCCACAAAAAGGAAATACCTCACTCTGTTTGTCTGGCCAACAAACAGAGTGAAGAAAAAAAATTGTGTTTGTTTGTTTGTTTTCCTCATTCTCTCTGTGTACGCTCAAGAACAGCCTTAAGTTACCAGGAGGGATTGTTTTAAGTTTATCTGTTGGAAAAGTTTCACTTGCATTTACTGTATGTGTTTTATCTATCCTTTTCCTGAAAAATGTGTGTCTATCTACAAGAGCCTTTTGAAACTCAAGTCTGCTTGTATGGGGAAATAATTTTTTAAAGTTACTTTTCTTACCTATCACTTACTGGTGAAACAACTATGAAGCTTTCTGAAACATAAGCATTTCTCAATCTCTAAAATGATGTGGTCTATTTTAGAATAAATGTTCTCCTACCTCTGGAAAGTTGCACACCTTAAAATATTAGGCTTTAAAATTATTTGGAGTTTTCAGCATTCTCAAGCTGCCTAGCATTTTTTTTCTCCTCTTCCTTTCAAGTTGCAAGTTCTTGTCCATAATATGTTGCAAATGGTCAAGTTCAAAGGTGAAACATTTCATTTTGTCGTTCCCCATTTGTCTATGTTTAATAACTGTAGTATTAGTGCCCTTTTCAAACTGCCTGCAAGCTACCCCCTTCCAATTCTTTTCCTGCCCTTTGTTCTCCATACCTTTTGTCTGCCTCTCCTGGTAGAGTCCACCCAGAAAGCGGGGGAGACCTTGTTCTTGTATCTTTCAGCCCTGAAACCCTCTCCCAAGCCTTTGGAAGCAGAACACACAGACCCAGATGCTGCCTCCATCCATTTGAGCCATGGAATTGGGTTTTGAATCCAGCCATCCACTAAAAAAGCCACCATGAATTTGAGTGGAAAATCTTCCCAAGTCCTACCATTTACCCAGATGCCTGTGAGAGCTGCAGAAGGAAGGAGTCCTGGAGCCACTGATGCCATGTGAAGCCTCAGAAGAGAAAATTAGACTGTGGGGGGAGGGTGGAAACTCATTGTAAACTTTTCTTTCTTGCCCCATTTGTATTGTAACAAGCCAGTTGAATGTATTAATGGAGAGATGGCACTTGGGAATAGGTGGCAGAACAAGTACTGAACACCTTGGACTTCTATCTGGTGGGAGGGAAAATTTATCCAGAATGTTTGTATTGACTATTTTGTAAAAGTGCACACACACACACCATTCAGAATCATACTTGAATCTATCCCCTCCACCTACCTTCAGTAAAGTTCCTCAGGCTGATTTTTGCTCTATTGCACCAAAGCTTGGGATCAACTTCCAACAGATAACAAGGGGGAGGGAACTAGGCCCCCTCAGGTGATTTGCAATTCATATGCCCTGACT